GCACCCAAAGTATGATGAACCGGTGGGTAGTTTGGATCGCTTCGATTTTGTCAATGTTTTCTACTTGCTGCTTCGTTTGCTCTTGTTTTCAACACGTGTGAATTCGATGATCCATTATAATGGGCACTATTCAACTATTGGTGCCCCAACATGTCAAATGATTTTTTTTGCTGAAACGTTTTCTATTGGGTCATTTAGTGCCCTGTTCATGATGATATTCGTGCAAATATGACATCCCTTTTTGGCGCCCAACGCCGATTTGATGTCATCTATCATCTTCAGCACGGAAATTAGTATTAACTTGCACTTTGAGACTAATTGGCATCCCGGTCGGGTCCATACTTTGCGTAGCGTTTTGAGCGCACGATAGCGTTTCGAGCTTTTCGGATCATCAGTGCCGCCGAAAACCAAAGCGCTAGCGGTATCAGTACTTCTCAAGTAGCTCAAAACGCTGTTGTACGCTCAAAGCGCTTGCAAAGTGTGAACAGAAGTTTACGACGACATTCATTTTTGGCGCCGATCCTATCTGGCGTCACGGCTTCTTAAACCAAAGTTGTTATTGTTTCGCATTGAAGCTCGGTTGGAGGTCGCAATTACGAATAAGTCATTTATTTTTTGCCCTACGTAGCACTCTTCTGAGGCTGTTCCTGGGATTACGGATGATTCCTTCTTCCCAAACAGTCACAGCAGAGCGGAGACGGTTAGAATGTCCAACTGTAGCGTTCTCGTTGAAAGATGATCGATGAGGACGCCAAATAACCTTACAATGAAGTAAATTTACATCGATTTTGGCGCAAAAGTGATAGCAACAAACGGCGCCGGCTCTTCATGGTGCCAAAAATGAACGACCTATTCGTGATCAGGACATCAAATGTTCCTAGATGCAAGTCTATATCGATTTTGCTGATGAAAAACTGAATTGAAAAAGGTGTGACACCAAATATCCACCCGATCCAAAAGCAAGGGTCGTATTAGTGATCAAGTTGCCGAACAGCTCCCCTAGTCAAAGTTTCAGCAAAAAAAAATTTGCGTTGTTGGGTACCAATAGTTCTATAATTGCGAGTAGTTTCAGTTCGCAGTTATCGCGGGCTATTTGAGGTTTACCTTCAAATAAGTGTATTTTTGCTCAGTTTCTGCTTCCATAGCAAACATTTCATGTAGTGAATGCCTTAAAGCTAGCAAGTATAGCAATGCTATACTTCTAATCTATTCTTGAAATTAATGCTACACTTATAGTACAGTCAGTTATACAAGAATGCTATTTATAGGTTCGGAAAAT